CGGCAGGCTCGCGAAAGATGGTGGCGGCCTGGAAGCGGCTTTCGTTCGACGGTGGCTTGATTATGGCTGCTGATGATTTATGATGACGACGACGACGATGATGATATGGAAGGCCACCTGGGGATCAGTTTGCAGCGAGTGTCCTAACTGGTTCCCCGGCTGAAACCTCGTGCACTGGATTCCGAATGCCAATGTTGGTGGCGTTGTCCATCGGGAGCAACCCGAATCTTGAGAAAACACCAAGCAAGCCGAGACGGGGCTGCTCAAAGCTGCCCATGCACTGCCTGGAAAAATGAAGCAATACTCGGCGGAAAATCTCATTTGCCTTGGCGACTGAGATTTCACGCCAGGCCAAATTAAGCCATTTCTGCTCAAGTGTAACGTACCCCCCTCTCCGCCCCCGATGAGGAGTACGATGGAAGGCTACGAGCTGCTGGCTGTGTTTTTGTGAGTTTTGAAAATTCAATATGTGGGCGACGTTTCGGGCAACTATCCTTCTGCACGATAAATAATAATGGCCACTCTTCATAGGAGGGACGAGAAAGGGCCACGGCCAAATACGTAATTTATGTTATCGTTCTGTACTTTCCTCTTTAAGGCAATCTTATTCCCAATGTGCATGTGCAACATTGGCAATGCAGCGTGGCAAAGTGTTTCATCTCTTGTCCTTTTTACTACGCAAAGAGCGTGTAACGTGCGCTCTTGGCAGAACAAACCCGCGCGTGCATCCGACTTTGTTTTGAAAGTCTACTTCTGACAAGGGCCATCGTCTGAACCATTAGATTATTTTAGATTTTTTTTTTTAGTTATCAGCCAAAGCAAAAGAGCAATATTGAGCTTGTGTATCTATGACGCTGCCAACAAAAAACCTCAAATACACGGGGTGGTGGTTGGTGGGAGGGAGAGAGCAGAGTGCACGATAGACGAACGGGGATCACATCGTCAGCGAGTAATTGTTGTTTAAATTGTGTCTAACATTGGCTGTGTAATGCCCTCTCCCGCTTCCCCCCAACCACCCCCCCTTTAAACAAGAGCTGTGGGAGCACTGTGCACGTCCATAACAGATGTTGGCCCACGGCCCGTCAATGCTTTATCGCTTCTACTATGCGCGCCCGTAAAGTGGGTACGTAGACATTACGCCATCGTCATCTCCTTTATCAAAGTGCCCTGCGACAATAGTCAGCGCCCCCCCCCTCTCCCCCCCCCCCCCCCCCCCCCCCCCCCCCCCACTGCATTGAGAAAATGCATCACCGTGTCAATATGAAGACGTTATTTTGTGAGAGCTGCCGATATACGGGCGATACGGTGACGAGATATTAACTACCTCGACCAGTATACAGGACATCGTGGGTTCGATCTTGATCCCGACCCTGACGCCTGTTGTATATTTGGAGTTTGCGTGTTCTCTCTCTCTCTCTCTCCCCGTGGTCGTGTGGATTTTTCTCCGGGTCCTTCGGTTTCTCCCATCCACATTTAGAATCAACGTTACATTTAAGATTTATTTTTTTTGGCTGCTAAAAATGTCCACGCGATAAGCAATTTCGTTCTGCTATCCTTTGTGGCCAGGTCGCTTCTGAAAAAATAGCTATATAGCTCACTGGGCCTTACCTGGTAAAGTAAAAAATAGTATATATTTTTTATTTGACACATTGAGGTGGGGTGGCGGTTAGCACGCCGTGTGATGAACCTGAGACTTGGGTTTTGTCTTTTTTTTTCCTGGCGACGGCTAACGTCAGTAGCGAGTGATATCTAAACCGGCCCTGAGCCCTGGCCCATTAACCAACACCACACTGACCAGCGTGGTGAAGTATGGTCAAGCAAACCCCCCCCCCATGTCCAACGGCGAGGCACGGGGGAGATGCCTTCGTCTAGGCAGCGAAATTGGCATTTGGCTGTAAATGATTAAATATTTAATATTACACAATACAGATTGAAATTAAGCATTCGAACAGGTGGCTGCATAAAAGTAGCTTTTAAAAATACTTATTTAATCACTGCATTTGGCATTTGGAGTGCTGCTTTTCTATGGGCAATTGTCCGCGGTCTGCATGTAAATAGAGCAAAATGCGGAGAGCAGTGTCCGCTTTAAAATGCCACGCCACACTGTGGAGACATTTAAGCCTTCGGCGAAACGAGAACCCAGCGACCGTGGCCAAATTAAATCCCGCCGCCCTCGTGGTCACGTCACGGCAGATTGCGGCTATCTCCCGCCACTCCGCGTGCTTCCAATGTAGGGCTTCCCCTCGCATCGATAATCTCATGCCCATTAATTACTTCCCCCCTCCCTCCCCAAAGCCTCTCTCGGTCTCCAGACCCCCCCCTCACCCCCCAGTTTTCAGGAGGGCCCTCCGCCAGGGATGTTCACAGCTCATCGCATCGCTGGGTGCTGGCCTGGCGGGAGGAAACGGGAACGCCCGGAGGAATACGCCACACGTAACGAGGAGGGAATTGACTTTGGCGGCGCGATATTTGCCGCTTGCACGTTGTAATTCGTGATACATTTTTGATTTTCGACGTGATTTAGCAGTTATTTTAATCCGTGCAACAAATCTAGTAATTTTTATTATTATTATATTCTTGAAAATTATTTCTTATGTTATCGAACTTTTCCAATGAATCAACAAATATCACGTGGTAGGCTGCCACCCGCACGCACTGTGAGTATTTTAGACGACGCTTTCGCAGCCTTATTTTGTCGTCTTGTAGCGATTCACACCTCTCGCGACCCGAGTCAAATTCCCTGGGTCATGAATAACGTCAGTGGCAAGCGATATCGGAACCGGTTCTGGGCCTCCCCTAAGTCGATTCGGCCTTAAATAAAATACAAAAATATGTTTTTTTCCTACCTACATGACTTTACCAAAAGAACCAAAGAGTACGGATTCCTGCAGTCACGAAAGCTTAAAATAAAGATTTATAACACAGATCAGTGGAAAAATATTAATATATATTTTTTTTACTTTTCGTAACAGCTATTTTCATTGGAGTATGACAGGTGAGGCTCTGCCTCCCCTGACCGCACGTCCCTGCACTACACTTTTTAACCCAAAATAAACAAATTAAGAATCAATACTCGCGCATCACCACATTATAAACGTGAACTCGACCCTCTTGAAGCTTACCAGCTGGTCTCAAACGGTGGAACCATCAAATCTACTCTGTCGACGCGTTGCAAGATTATTCCATTTTTCCTCAGCCCAGCTTCTTCTACACACACCGCCTTATTATTACCGTAGCGATCAACGATTAAAACACGATAGGCAATTAATGTTCCTCTTGACCTTTATGCTATGAATTGAACCTGTTAATTTTAATGTATTAAATTCACAAAAGAATGTAACCTTGTCAAGTTTCCCCATGATGCTTTGTGCAATGATCCTGTCAATAAACATAGAGCCACAATTCACAACACAAATTGTACGTTTTTAGTAAAAAATACTTTATTTTTTTATTCCAGTGAAAAGACTGTAATCACAATAACAAGAATAATTTACAGCCGTATACATCTACTGCTGGATGAAGGCCCTTCCCCCTACTCCCTGTTGGTCATGGGGGTTGTGTGGCCATACTTCACCACGCTGGTCAGTGCGCGTTGGTGAAGGGGCCCAGGACTTATATCACTCGCCAAGGAATCGAACTCAGGTCACCAGGTTCACAGTGCATTGTGCTTACACCTGTGCCATCACTCGACCCGAAAGGACATTTGGTAAGAACAACAACAATCTTCACATGCGAATCATCTCAGCGACACATTATCGATGCCACTGCTGGATTTTACCCCTTTAGCTCAGCAAACAAGGGAAACAATATTGACGGTTTAACATTAAGCGTAGTCGTAGCACATTTGTGGGTAATAACTATGGTTGTTGAATGATAATCGCTAGAGTGGTCATCGTTTTCAGCATCGATTTACCGTTTCCGAAAAACTCAGGCATCAACAATCAATTGCAGTTGAGTCGTTCAAACCCGGTGGCCACCTTTCATAGGGCCCGACGGCGAGGCCTGAATCACCACGTGGCCCTCTCGCTTCTCGGTTAAACAGTTCAAAGGTGCAGCCCTGAAATAGCCTGCTCACGCCCACTGCTGGTGGAAGGGTCTCCACAGGAGGGAGCTCTAAGAGGGCACGGGCATTTGGACTACCCTTCCCCGGCTGAAGGGATATTGGGAGAGGTGAGCGTACCCACGTTTGACCCTCGCCGGACGCTTCCTGCGGTTACACCTCAAAACACCCGCAGCGACGGCGACGGCGGTGGCTTTTGGCCAAACGTCGAACAAAAACGGCCACTGGCATCGCGCGCTTTCAGATGCGCTCCTGCGGAGCGTCTGGAACGCTCTTAGGAAGCCACTGTGTGGGGGGGGGGGGTGGTTATGCACTTTTAAGTCATCATGTAGATTGAAAACTAATTTCTTCAGAAACTGCTTTTTTGTGTTTACGTTTACTGTCCCCCCCGCCCGCCGCATCTCCGGTTAGCGCGGTTGGCTACGTACGGCGCGAAAGAAGTTCAACGTACACACGTGCATGCGTACGAAAGAGGAGATGGGATTTGGTGGGGAAATACGCAAAAGATACAGATTGGTTGAAAGGGAGGTGAGAGGGGTGGGGATGAGGGCTTCTGTGCTTAGGGGGGAAGAGAAAGTCTGGGAATCAACTAGGAGAGGCATTCCTGCCGTGCCATCGCCTGCCCTGCACGCGTCTGCGCTGACGCTCACGGAACAATAAGGAGTAACGGTTCCTTTACCAGGACCACAACGCGTCGACTGACGTGCACGTTCATCCAGTAGCGTAACGAGCGTGGGGGCATGGGAGGGGGGGGGGGTTGACTTGCCCCCCAAAGCTACGAGTTGGAGCCCCCCTTGATAACCAACATGAGAGACAACTCAAAGGATTGGGGCCCCACCTGACCGATTCGCCGCACCCCCGTGAGCTGAGAATGTAGCTTCTACGCCACTGCGACATCTCTCTATGCGTGTCAAGCCGGTGATCGGGCGTTTTTTTTTTAAATATATACCATTCTTTTGTTATGCGACCACTACTTAACAACAACCCTAGCAAACGCACAAATATAAACACGCGAACCATTCTGTGTGTCCACCCAGAAACAGCTCACTGCATCGGCCTGTTGACTTTCCAGACCGATATGAATCCTGCAGCAGCATTCGTGTGATTTCTCAAACGCCAGTTTGCTTGCTTTGAACAAGACTCATAGTTTGCAAACACTACAGGGGGTTGCTTGCTTAAGAAAATTATGCTGCTGCTGGATAGCGTTGGTCTGGGAATCCAGAAAAGACCGTTGGCTCGACGACGACATTGCTTGTTCAGTGGAGACACATAACAGCATTCTGTTTATATTAGTTTTTACATTGTTCACTAGTTATTCTTGACCCCTTTACATGTGTGTGTTGCAGCTGCGAGGGGGTTTCGGTGGAGCGCTCAAGTGCACAACAACAGCTGCCATGGTTCCCAGTCCGCAGCGTTGCATTGCGCTCCATTCATTAATTTGTACATCATCATCAACATCAACAGAAGCCAGCCTGTTGTGTCACCGCACACCGTAGCCTGTATCAGCTTTTAGTTGCTATGAACACGGTAGGTTTTTCTTTTAAAACCTTTTTTTTTCTATAAACACGTAGCGTTAGCATTTTCCCCAGCGCTAAAAATGACGCCGAAACTCACAAGTAAAACTTGTTCATGAGTGTACAAGTAGCCACGAAGACGACAATGTTAAGTGCATTTGCGTAGAACACCAGCCGCGCAAAGTGTTTTATTCGCCTTCGTCTCTCCGATAATTATCTTACGGGTTGTCTGACTTTCGCAAGCATTGCATTGTCACATCCACGAGGTAAAAGTTTAATATTTTAAATATTTTAAAAAAAGAATCCTGACCAAAACTTGGGAAAATGACACCCGGTGGGAAATGAACTGATCCCAACATCACCCACGATGCCTCCTTACCTACCGCCACGAGGAGCCATGTGTGGGTTTGGTAGGCTTGGGAACGTACCAGCCCGTTCTACTGGCAGCGGCGCTGCAGAGGCAAGATACGAACTCCCTGTCCTGGTGTGGGGGAGCTCGTGGGTTTCATCCCGATCATGACGCCTGCTGCATATAGTTGGAGTTTGCGTGTCTCTCTCACTCCGTAGTCACGTGCATCTCTCTCCCGGTCCTACACATTTAGAATCACGCGTTTGGAGTATTTGGCTGCGAGAAATGTCCACGTGAGAAGCCACTTCGTTGAGCGGTCAGGTCGCTTCTGAAAAATATTTTACATAGCTCAGTGGGCCTTACCTGGTAAACAAAAAATAGGTTAGTTGAGGTTACATTTTGAAATGTCCATCTTCTCTTGGATGCTTCCATTATAGTGTTGGTGTTCTACTGCGCGCCAGCGTGAGTCTGTACAATCCCATCACGGAGAGTACAATCATTCGTGGAGAGTACAATATTTCCAACGTGCAGTTGTCTCTGTATAACACCTCATTGTTTGCAGAACAATCCCAGCTTCCGGTTCCTTCATTATTCATGCTCGAGACTCCACCGGTGACTTTTGAGCGACTGTAAAAATCAGTAGAAATTCGGTTTGGCTGCAAAAAAAAAAGTAATTTCTCGTCAACTGAAAAAAATAGCTCATGCAGCATTTTTGTTTTGATATATAAAAAAAACTAAAACGACACACACACACCGGCGCAATCATTTTTTTGTGGCCGCTAAAAAAAACCAGCGTACGTTTCAACTCACCTCGCGGTAGATTTATAATGGCCCACACTCTTTTTCTCGTCAACTGCAAATCACTTCGGCGCCTTTCAAACTCAATTCGGCGGCGGCTGCTGCTGCCGGAGAGGGCTGTGAAGGGTGACATTTCAGAAAAAAATAAGTGAGGTTTTTTTACGGTTTACGGTATCGGCTGCAGCTTGGGACGCGCCATCGCCGTCGCAGGGAGCAGAAAAGAATAATAAAAACGTTCCGTTGTGCTCACTGCCAATAACGCGCGCACTCGATTAACGGAGAAGATGTTGGGATCTCTCCGCCCGTTTGCATTCTGTCCTCACCATAAAAGCACACGGTACAGTCTGTTCTCCTAGAACACGTGTTTTACGTGATTAATGTATTAGGTGGGAACGCATTTTCTATTCCGTGGATGCGAATTGGATATAGCGCGGTTGAGCGGACAGAACAACGTCGCTCGAGTAGGAATAAGCGGTCGTACGGCTGCCTCGGCGTAGCATCGCACGAGGCGGGATACTGCCGGACGCTTCCCGATGCTACCCACGCAACCCAGTCTTTGTTCGTCCTGCATACGCATCTCACGTGTTATTAGGGACCATGCTTTACCCCTATATTATATATTATTTATTATAACGCATTTTTTTCCATTGCGCGGTTGTTCTTCGGGAACGCAACCACTACCGCGTTGTAGGAGAACAGACTTTGTACACAAAGTCAATGACATTTCAGAAGGTAGTTGTAGCAGCAACCCTGGAATGCGACTTCGTCAAAAAGTAATCAGGGGGTGGCATCGAAAAACCCAGGGCATGGGGCCCACGATGCATTCGATGCCATGACTTGAAGAATTTAGAAGGTGGACCACGTTATCCCCACCCCCCATTCCCACGAGATGCCAGATGCTACGGGACTGAGAAGGTGTGGTTTTTATTTTTGTTGACTAGATCAGTCGACTCACCGTTGTATCGGTTGTGGCAGGCTTGCCATCTGCCTTCCCGAGAAGCTGTTTAATATTCCACTGTGCTAAGTGTTCCGTCCTCTCCCTCCATTTCCTTAAATACACACAATGTTTTGTTTGGGGTGGGGATGGGGGGAAACTTTTTATGACATTTTAAAGGCGAGGCTTGGTTTGGTAAGTGGGCGGATCAATTTATTTGCATAAAAAAGCACCCCACCGGCCATCGCAGTTATTGCATTTCGCGAATATTTGTTTTTATGTTAAAAAAGGTTAGTTGGTTAACGTTTCGGGAACGCAAAAGTCACGGCTTGTCTTCGCGCCGGTAAAAATAAATTGTCAATTCGAGTGCCAATATGTTCGCGCGGGTTACGGCAAACGATTTACCGTTTAGACGTGAACATAAATGTGTCTCAAGTACGAAATTAAATCAGAAAGCACTGCGGAGTGCTGCGGCTGCCAGACTGACTCGTGGAAATATATATTTTTTAAATGCTCTTGTATGTGTGCATGTATGTATGAATGTGAATATGAGTATGTATAGAAGTGGTGTCCTGGGAAAAAAAAAAAACTTCATAAGTCACAAAACATAATTGTCCACAAAATTGTTCACAAAGTAAGGTGTTATTCAAAGTGGGAGGATTAAGCGGATGAAATTTGAGTGAGTGATTTGTTGCGTTTATGGTGTGGCCATGTGTGGGGAAGTGATACAGTGAAAAAAAATGTGTCATGCAATAAAACCAGCAAGGGCATCCCTTGTTATGTGTGCATGGGTATGCATGTGTATATATATGAGCATATCTGTGTGTTTTTGTAAGTGAAAATATGAACGTGTGTGTGTATGTGAGTGCATGTGTATGTGCTTTGGTCTCGAAGTCTGCGGGGGACAAATTCATTCTTTGGCGGAGGGGGGGAACACTTTAACCGTGGAATTTTACAGGCATTATCAAGCTCTGATATCAACATGTGCCTGTGGGCATGCGCAATGATATTTCTATAGCAAAAATATACGACCGGCGTTTAAAATGAATACGCACCGAGCGACACATTCCATTGAGCGAGCAGTGTGCCTGTTGGCTGTTCATGATTATCCAGGATCTATTCACTGCTAGATGACGGACTCCCCCAAGGCCTTCATCTGTCACCTTCTTGCAACGTACCAACCCATCTCGCACCTGCATACGAGCTGATGTCGAAGCTCTATCTCCGGCGGTGGACGTTCCTGTCGGGCATGTTGCCTCCTTTTAGGAGGGCACTCTGAAGTGAATCTCAAACCGCCATCAATCGTCTCTCGTAGCGGCCAACTTTCTTTTTGTCTATACATTGCGTGCTTTCTCCCATTCACTCTCTCTGTCTCTATGTAATTCTCAACGTGCACCTCCTCCATGCTGCTTTGCACATGTTTCGGACGACGTCGTTGCGGACAAGCGCTTGTATTAAGAGCGCCATCGGCACCCAAAGACGCGATGTGCGGGGACTGTGATAGGACACGGCGAGTTAGGGGTGCCTCGGTGGCTAGGAGATATTAACGCCCTCGCCTGATATGCAGGAGGTCGTGGGTTCGATCCCGACCCTGACTTCTGTATCTTTGGAGTTTGCATGTCTCGTGGTCACGTGTATTTTTGTCAAGGTCCTCTGTTTTTTTCCCCCCTCCGCATTTAGAAACATGCGGTTACAGTGATAATAGGTTTTTCCCCTTTTTTCTGGCAACAAAATGTGGTTGCAGTATTTAGCTCCCATAAATTTCCACGTGATAAGCCACTTCGTTGAGCTACCAATTGTGGCCTCTGAAAAAGAGCTCTGAAGCTCAGTGGGCCCTTACCTGGTTTAAAATTTTCCAAAAATACTTTTCGTTTTTTTTTGTTTAGTTAGGGGACAAGCGAGAGAGACTCAGCGGGTTTGGTTGAGCGGATTCGTGAAGTCAAACTTAGACAGAGGCCGCTGCTTCAACTCCCGCAGGCAGGGCCCCCCACGCCAGCCACACCGACCCCCCCCCCCCCCCTCACCTGCAGATGCAGAGGACGCAGGCCGCGACGGCGGCCACGAGGAGCGCGAGTCCGACGGCGGCCAGGGACGTCGCCAGCCACTGCCGATCGCCGGCGCCCTGCGCGTCGTAGCTCTCGATGTTGAAGGAGGAGCACCGCTCGCCCCCAAACCCCGCCACGCACCTGAGCGGAGCGCGGGTACCGCCAGACACACGGGCGGCGGGAGAGGGCAGCGTTAGCGGCGGCGGGGGGGGGGGGGGCACGGCTTTTATTGTACGCGCGCGTGTGTGCGTGTACGTATGTTGGCATAGTAGGGGGCAACGCGTTGTGCATCGGGCAGTCATTTCAGTCACTCAACCCCTGGCACCTGAGTGCGTTCCGTGACTTCCTGCCGGCGGGCGTTCGACACTTCACGTGCCCTTAAAGTGCACCTGGCCTGGCACAGGCGCCGTGGTGATGTCACCGCCACTTCGTGGCGAGTGCCGATTATTGTTGTGTGTTGAAGTTCTTTCGCACCGTACGTAGCCAACCGTGCTAATCGGAGGTGTACACGGGAACGTATGTGTGTATGTATTTGAACTTCTTTCGCACCGTACGTAGCCAACTGTGCAGTGTCGGATTATCGTAGTAGCACAAGTAGCAAATTCTACGTGCCCCGCACTTTAAAGGGCCCTGCGCTAAATGCGTTCAAGCTGTCAATTCCGGTTCAGTGATTGTGCACTTGCTCTATTACTATAGTACTATACTGCCTTAAACTTTTATGAACGACTGGGTATTTAAGGTTCACGATTTGTCGTATTAGCTGGCTGTATAGCAAATGAAAAAATACAATAACTTTACTATGCAAGTAAAAAAATGTGTGTTTTCATATTTATGTTTTTTTTTTTTATTTTGGGCCCCTTAATAACATATGCTACAGGCCCCGCACTAGCTTAATCCGGCACTGCAACCGTGATAATCGGAGGTGTTCACGGTAACGTATGTGTGCATGTATGTTGAACTTCATTCGCACCGTACGGAATCAACTGTGCTAATTAGAGGAATGCGCTCATCATCGCACACATTACACACAAAGCGCTTTCCACAAACGAACCCGCAGTACCTCCCCTGATCTCGTCAAAGAGCATCAACCATCATCACGCCAACTCCACTCATCCTCGCAGCAGCAGCGGCTTTTGGCTGCGAGCTGTTGAACAAAGGCGGTGGTCGCCGCATCGCGCGGCGCTTTCAGATGCGCTTCTGCGGCCGTCTGGAACGCTCTTCCCTTCCGATTATTAGGAAGCCACTGAGAGCTATGCGCTTTCAAATCATCAAGATTGAAAACTCATTTAATTGGAACTGATTTTTGTTCAGTTTGTTGTCCTTCCCCCGCACCTCCGATTAGCACGGTCGGCTTCCTACATTGCAAAAGAAGTTCAACATAAATCTAGAGACAAGGGGTCTGATGTATTACCTGGTAGATAGCGCCACCATGTGGGTGGCACAAAGACCAAGATCCCCCGTATAGCCTTAACAGACTGTAGGGGAAAGTGCTGTTAGCGAGTAGCACCTATGAAGGCCGGCACGGCACACGAGGGAGTGGGTGGCCAGCACCACCACGCCCGGCCGCCTTTGTCTCTCGAGCGGCGATGTTTTGCACACTGCACCAGGTACTCATTTTAGGTTGATTCGACCTAGGGGAGGTCCAAGACCGGTCACTGGTGGTGGCCGTGAGCGGGAGTCAAATCCGGGTCGCCGGGTTCGTAGCGCGGTGCGCTACCGCTTCCCGCACACAACAAACCTGCACAGCAACAAGATGTCTTTCGGGGGGGGCAGAACAGCAAGCCGGTTTCATAGTTTGATGGTTAGTTCTTCCTATGCCCTGCAGGTGTGAGTAACCAGGAGGTCACGGCAGCAACATGATTCACTCACCCCACCGCAAAGCCGCTATATTAAGAGTTAGTGCGTCATCGCGCCTGCTCAACGTCGGGTGCGGTCTTGGTAAAAGCTACCAAACGTCCTGGTTTTTTTTAATGGCCGGAGCAGTATCGGTTCCAGGAAGGTTGTCCCTGAAGCATCTCGACAGAGAGCGTGAACCATCGTCACGCGAACTCCGATCATCCTCGCAGCAGCAGCAGCAGCGGCTTTCGGCTGGCCATCGAACAAAGACGGTCACCTCGTCGCGCGCTTCTGCGTCCGTCTGGAACGCTCTTCCTTCCGATATTAGGAAGCCACCGGGGACTTTTAAATCATCTAGATTGAAAACTCATTTCTTTAGAACTGCCTTTTTGTGTTTCGTTTGTTGTTCTTCCCCGCATACCTCCGATTAGCACGGTTGGCTACGTACGGTTGCGAAAGAAGGTCAACGTACGCACATGCACACGCACATTTGCAAGAACAATGAAAAAAATCTGGATTTTGTCCCCGGTTTAAATTATTCAGATCTCTCTCCGTGCTCGACTCTCGAGACGAAGGGGTCCTCTGAACAGTGGGCGGGGGCCTATGAGCAGTGGGCGGGGCCTTTTGAGCGGTGGGCGGGCCTTTGAGCAGTAGGCGGGGCCTATGAGCAGTGGGCGTGTTCCGTGGGCGTGGCCTTATAAATGTATGCCAGGGCTGATGGAAAGAAGCATCTGCCAGCTTCACGGCGTGTGTCTCTCTCTGGTCTGAGCCTTCCAAAAAAAACCAAAAAAATGTCGTCAGCTTCGGTCGTGACCCTTCGTGGTGCGGCCCGAACACCGCGCCCACTCGACTCACTTGCACATGGGCTTGTTGAGCTGCACGACGAGCAAGCAGTCGCCGCCGTTAAGGCAGAAGTGTCGAAAGTGCTCGGGGCAGTCGGCGAAGTGGCCCCGGGGTTTACTCCCGCAGTCCCGGCAGCCGGGCTCCGCCGTCCGGTTCCAGCCGTCGGATCCACCCCGCCTGGCGGTGTCAGGAATGCAGGCCCTGCAGCCGGCGGTCACGGGACCCCTCCCTTCGCCGACCTCCGTTCCGTTGTACTCCGTTCCGTTGTTCTCCGCGCCGTGTTCCGTTCTCACGGGGGACGGCGGGAGAACCGAGGCCTCGTCGCCGCGGTCGGCCACGGTCGCGGTGTTGGTGGCCGCTAACCGCACACGTCGGGAGAGAGAACCCCGCGTTAGTGAACGGTGGCACCTGAAAAAAGACCCGGCCGTAGGGTAGCGGTTAGCGCCCTGCGCTACGAACCCCGACCACCGGAGTTTGATTCCCGCTCACGGCTACCAACACCAGTGATGATTAATTGAACCGATCATGGGCCTCCCCTGCGGACGGGCGTGGTGTTGGCCACCTTACCCCCTCGTGTGCCGGCCTGCATAGGTGCAGCTACTCGCTAACAGCACTTGCCCCAACAGTTTGTTCAGGCTACACGGGGGATCTTTGTCTTTGTGAGGGCGAGAGAGCCGAGCTGGCATTGTTGAGAGGCAGCGCTCACCTGTGACCCAGCACTTTGGAGCTTAAAAACCAGGCTGCAGTCTACATTATAGACTGCCAGTACACTCACCAAATTTAATAACCAGGCTACAGTGTCTACATTATAGACTGCCAGTACACTCACTTTATTTTTTAAAAATTCTATCTACGTGACTTTACCGAAAACACCAAATAATGTGAATTCCTGCAGTCACGAAAATTTTTAGTCAAAATATTAGATATTGTTTAGGATGGCGTAGATAAAAGGTCATGGATTAAGATTGCCCTGAAGTTCACGGAAATCGGACGAGACAAGATCACGCAAAATAACCATCACATATCTTCCCCTTGTTTTGTTTCTCCAGAGACGAGTCGCACCACCACCACCACAATCTCACGCGCCCGCAAGGGAGACAAAGGAACAGCAGCTGTATCCAGACAGAGCAATACCGACAGCAGCAGCAGCACCATCTGGCAAAAGGGGAATTCGGTAAAAATAAATAAATGTTTTTACAAACGCGCCACGGGCCCGCAACATTGACGCGGACTTGCAGTCGGTTTGGCGGTCCACGATTTCACTGCAGCCGCAGCCGCCTCCTGCGAGGGCCCCCCCCCCCTTTGCCTCCTGTGCGGGAGCCTCGTTTCTCACCACGGATTGACGGCGACGGCGCCGATGCGTTGGCCGCTGGAGGAGAGCCGCCGACGTGATCGCCGCAGGCCGTCTGCGCGCCGGAGAGCTCCAGGAATCGCTTGACCGTCCCTTTGGGCACAAGACAAACGCGGCGGTCCGCCGCAGGAACCGTCACTCGCCCGGCGAGTGCCGACGCCGGTGGCACCGACGCGGAAAATGCCGACGCACGCTCGCTCGCGGCGTTGATTGTCGCGCGGCAGGCGTTGTGGTGGTCGAAACCCGCCCAGGCGGTGCCAACGGCGGCTCTGGCCCGGGAGGTTTCGCCGTGCAGAGTTTTAGGAAAATGCGGTGACGGCGAGAGTTTTTCACTCGACAACCGCCGGGACGTTTGACCGCTTTTCGCCTTCAGCTGTCCCGTTGGCAAATGCAGACGCGCACGTGCGCTTCTTGACCGCGTGGAACCCGTTCCGTTATAAAGGGGCAATGTGGTGTGTTCTCGAATGCGCACGTTTGTCAGATGCAAGTAAAGTGGGTCGTGTTCACTGATATTCTCGATAAACAAAAATATTCGGGCGAAGCATGTATACAGTATTCACAAGTAAAGACAAATTACTATTCTTTCAGCTTTGCGAATTTGATTTTACACGATGCATTCGGACTGAGATTAAATAAATGTGAATTTGGAAAAAAATCGGAATTGAAATCGGCAGTGTGCCAAAAAACGCAAACCACTGAATGTACAATGTTTGATTCTTGGACACACACAAAAACACATCACGTTCATCACTCATGCATGAACGCTGCTTTACAATGTAAACATTCGGCGTGCAGTCGTTCACCTCCCACCGCGTCATGACTGAGCAGTGCCAACAAGGCACTGTCCATCTCTTCTATTTTGCATGCTCTATTTTGTTCATTCGAGGAAGCTCTAAAAGTAAGTAGCATTACCATCACATGTGTACAGAATTTTTTTTCTATAAATCACGAAAAAGTTAATTATTAAGGCGCACTGCGTGTATGGTGAACTTGAGAATATATTTTTTATTTTTTTAAGGAACCCTGCTCCAAAAAAGCACGCGAAAGCTGAACAGCACGCAAAAATCTAAATGTTCATTGCAACCATTTAATTGGCTTCACATCGTGCCGCGAGCACCAGGCTGGCCCCCGCGACCGTGTGGGGTGGGGGGGGGGCGAGGATGGGGGGGGGGGCGCCCACTCGAGACATCGTCGTGCGATGCCAGGTGGTGCGACCGCACCGGGGCCCACGCTGCCCCGCAGGGAGCCCACAGGCACCGGAGATGAATTTAGCTCCTCGCATCGGGGGGGGGCGGCCCACACGTCCCCCCCTGGGCCCCCCCCCCCCCATTGCGCAATGCCAACCACGCGCCGCACGCCGCTCACCGGACTTGGGGACGGGCGGCACCGCGACGATGGCCGAGGGCCGCATGGAGTCTCCCTGCATGTGCACGAGGCGGCGGCCCGAGTGCTTGTCGAGTCGCACGACGGTGCGCCGCGCCAGCGTCGTGAACCACACGCTGTCCCTGTAGACCGCCAGCTGGTCCACGGCTGCTCACGCGGAAACAGACGCAGGCGCGAGGTCACGGCCGCCGCCGTCACGGTCAATCATCACGGTCGTCGTCACGGTCAATCATCACGGTCGTCGTCACGGTCAATCATCACGGTCGTCGTCACGGTCAATCATCACGGTCGTCGTCACGGTCGTCGTCGTCAGCAGCAGCGGCGCGGGTGGCTCTCAAGAGATTGCACCGCCCGTTATCGATGTGCTTGAGTGAGCCAGTCGCCTCAGGGGCAGGGGGTGCCTTGCCCCCCCCCTCCCCCCCCGGCAGCCAAAGCTACGAGTTGGAGGGGGGGGGGCCCTTGACAACTACCACGAGAGATGTTTTCAACAACGGTGTAAAAGAACAAAGCTCATTTAAAATGCGGTTTACATTTATTTTAATGAAAATGCTTTCGTTTAGACGTGGCTGCATTTTGTGAAGACGGAGCGCCCCTACGGTGTTAAATGTTCGGGAGCGTGATAGTGACGGTGTGGATTAGGCAAGAGGAGCTGCGATATATAGCCCAGGTGCGAGACAAATCAAATATTGGGGCCCCACTTGAGCTTGTGATGTAGCTACTACGCCACTGGGGCAAATACCTTTCCACTCTTTAGTCAGTCACGGGCATAGCTTTACCACGTTTGACCACGCGGGTCATAGCTCGACGTGCTAACAACTGTGCCAAAGCGCTACGAATACGGAATGTGATTTACAGGGTCTATATAAATGCAGCTGCTAGACAGCATGCTATGACGGCCGGCGGCCAAGACGAACGACGAAGTGGCAGCCGTAGGCATGCCCTAGAGGACGAACGCCACGGGGATGGTGCAGCGAACTCAGCTCGTGCACAGGACCGTGAGAGATGGGCGATTCGGCAGCTTAGGGAGGCCCCTCGCGCGTGGCAACGGACATGGACCGCGGCTCGTGGCGACGACGACGACGACGAGGACGACAATGAGGACGATTTGTACGAAACGCCCCTCGACGCGTGCGGCACGGCGGCTCACCCTCGGCGCCGGTCTGCGCGAGCGTGCGGCGCGCCGTCCCGTCCAGCGCGGCCACCTCGATGACGCGACGCCGCGGGTCGCTCCAGAAGAGCCTCGACGAGCAGCGGTCGACGGCCAAACCCGCGGGCACCGCCAGCAAGCCCCGCGCAACCTCCCTCACCGCGTCGCCGTCCAGCGCCGCGCTCGCCACGCGCGGGCGCGCTCCCACCTCCGTCCAGAAAACACGGCTGTCAAGGCAAACGCATGCAGTGGGCAGGGGCCAGATTTAGATTCCATGGCTGTCGACCCGTACGGTTTACTCCGTATTCATGTACAGGGAAATTGAGTTTTCGGGTCAGCGTACGGCATACAGCCGTTTCAATACGGGCAAAATTGTTTTTTTGTGTCTATTTTGTTTGCGTTTCTCCCTTGTGATGGGACTTTGTAGGGTGAACGTTGGGATTTATAAGGGGCACGGGGTGACCCATAAGGTCTGAATTGGTCTGTAATAAGGTAGGCACCGATAAGGGATTGACAGGCATGAGATTCGCCAGGCCACGATGCGTAGATTCGCTCTTCGAAGTTGATTCTGATGCTGATGGGGGGGGGGGGGGACATAGAATCCCCGTTCACGTAAACCTGTGTTTTTTTTAATGATCCATAGAAAGTCCATAGAAAAAAGTGGTTGGAAATTCCACGACAAAAGCAAAACATTTTTGTTCATGGTTCTGTAAAAAGCATTTCTGTTAAGACTAACTGTTAAGACCGCCACACGAAGCAACCACACAAGTCGACGTGCACCGTGGAGATGGAGCAGTGAAATGAGCGCTTGTGCAAGAACTAGATGGATCGTTGCAACGTGGGATCAATTCTCAGACCACGTCGTGACCCCAAACTGGGGAGGACGGTGGAAGGGGTGAATTGTTACACGTCTAATGCTCAGCCCTCGTCATCTTGCGGTCGCGAGATGTTAACTACCTCGCCTGGTATACAGGAGGTTGTGGGTTCAATCCCGACCCTGACGCCTGCTGCTGTATATTTTGGAGTTTGCAATGTCTCCCCGTGGTCGCGTCGATTTTTCTCTGGGTCCTCCGGTTTTTCCCTCCACGTTTAGAATCATGCATTCGAGTATTTCCACGTGATCAGCCACTTCATTGGGCTGTCATTTGTGGCCAAGTCGCTTCTGAAAAAAAGTGATAAACCTCAGTGGACCTTAGCTGCTAAAAGAAAAATATATTTTTTAATCTGCTAGAGAGAATGAATAGGATGGCCCATTGGCGTTCGAGCACCAACTGCAGATAGACTCCTGAAATGTATTGTGCATCATTCAGTCTTTATAAAAATGTTTAGCTCATCTGGAACAGGAGCTGAAAATTGTGCCAAGATGCCAAGAGAGATGCATTGCCTGAAATTACACTGTGAGGCAAGAGTGAAGAGCAAATGGAATAGAGAAAATAGACCCATCACATTGACCGATGAGGACAGGCGAGTGGGCTTGGGGAGGACACGTCACCAGCTGGGACGATGGCTCGTGGTCAAGACAAACGATGCTGCGGCGGCTCAAGGAAGGGGCAATGTGCCCCGAGAGGACCGACCTCCGTGGAGATGGAACGATGAGACCAGCTCGTAGCACCGAACTCACCTAACTGTGGGGTGCACGACTATAGCGCGGGGCCGCGCGCCGGCCTGCGAAAAAAATATCCTCCTCTCCGAGCCGTCCAGGTTGCTCATTTCGATTCGGAAAACCCTGCGGGAGAACGTCACGTGACGTGTTAGTGCTGCTGGATGACACGACGTGGATTTACACGGCGCCTGAACGCGCGCGCATCTCTACACCATGGGCAGGACACAGCAGGCGATTCTCGTGTGATAGAGAGAGGCGGTCAAACACAGGCGGAGGATAAAGGGAAGGTCTTGAACGTTAACTTGAACGAGGGAAGGGAGTTGACAGCACGGATGGCTGAGGGGGAAGGAGTTCCACACAGTGGGGCCAGCAGAGGAGAAGGAGCGACCGCCCGCTGAGTGACGGTCGACTGGGGCCGTTACTAGATGACGTGGCGATGCACTGCTATGCGAGAGGTACGAATGGACGTGGCACCTCATGACGTGACACGGACACGTAAGTATGTATTTTGAACTTCTTTCGCACCATACGTAGCCGAGCGTGCCAATCGGAGGTGATAACATTTTGGGAGCGGGCGGGCGGGCACACCTGGGCAGGGTCCAGTACATCTTCCTGTGCAGCCAGTCGACGGCGAGGCCTAGCGGGAGGCTTGGGTTGGAGGCCACGAGCACTTCCTTCGCACTGCCGTCGATGTCCATCCTCTCAATGCTCCGCGTGGCAGAGCTCACAAAGTACACCTGGGGGCGAGGGAAGCGGAACGTCAGCTACGACGGGTATCCGTTCGTAATATACGGTCACTCGAAGGCGGCGTGGGTGGATCACGCAGAAATGGAGCCATTGAGACCAGCATCATCGTAGGAGCCTTCATCGCATCTCGTCACGGCAACTGCATGTCTCTTTTCTGGGGCCTTCCAAAATTTCATCTGCATGACGTTATCACTAAACCGCGTGCTATCTAATATGACTATACCACACCATGGCATATAATGATGTTCTGGTTTTTTTTTAATAAAATTCTGCAAAAGGTTGTACTTCCTTGACTAAATATAAAAGTTAAACCACAAACTAATCTACCTAAGTCTATTCTCCTTCACTCTTTGTTCTAAAACGTGTTTTCTTGTCTTCGTTTGTCTTATTTCATTTCCACTTTTTCCTGGTTTGTAGGGAGCTTTGAGATGTGTGACATTTAAGCATTTAATTTATCCAAATCCTTATCCAAATATTTGTTTTAATGAAACATTATGTGTCCGTTTGTGAGTCCGTCAGTCAGACCAATTGAGTGATCTTCATCAGAGTGCAGTAAGGAAGGGCCCATTCTGACCAGGAGGAACCATAAATAAAATTGATGATGAGCTATGTAACAACCTACGTGTGACCTTTGATCCTCGCAATGAAATTAATGCCAAAAACATTTATAATGCGAATATTATAGAGTGTTAGCAATGTCTAAACTCTCTTGTTTTCTTTTTCGAGTTTTATTACCAAAATTTTTAAATACAAAAAATATTCGAAAGATTTTAAAATAAAAAAATGTAGTTATTGGGAGTTGGGGGTGGCGGGGTGGGTGAGGAATCTGATTGGTCCCAGGTTTCCACGCGGTTGATCTACGAGCCCTCGGTATTAAAGTAGCGAGCCAGGCAGGCGCACAACGATCAGCAAGCAAGGCACGACGGCGTGGCAGGGAATGGGATGGGACATGTGGATAGCGTCATAGCGAGCTTGTCGTGCCTCCCACTAGGGGGGGATAGAAGGGGGTAGCCAGGACGGCAAAGATCTCCATCCCGGGACACTGAAGTGTCTTGGTCCCGCACGCCCGGTACCTTGCGCTCAACGGGATCGTAGTCCAGAGCCGCCACCTGCCCCACGCTCAGGCCCTCCCTGATGCTCCGGAACCCCGAGCCGTCAAAGTTGATCCTCATCATTCGCACGCCGTTGGAGAACAATAGGAACGGCTGCAGTTCTAAAATGATAGTAATAAAAAACATCAACCAATAAGTGTAATTCTCATTTTGAACTGTTAACTTGCAGAGATTTATGAAAATATTTGAAGCACAAACGCATCATCATCGTTATAAATCAGTATTTGGTTCGTGAAACTAACACTCTGTCTACGTAAGTTGAACTTGTTTCACACTGTACGTACTATAAAGTATGTTTTTATTTTATTTTACCAAGTAAGGCCCACTGTGCTATATAGCTCTTTTTTAAAGGCGACCTGGCCACATGATAAGCTCAGCAAAGTGGCTCATCGCGTGCAAATGTATAGCAGCCAAATAATCTTAAACGTGTGACGTTCATTTTAAATGTGGAGGGAAAAACCGGTGGACCCGGACAAAAATCCACACTCAAACTGCAATATGTACAGCAGGAGTCAAGGTCGGGGATCAAACCCCACGAAACCTCCTGCACACCCCCGGGCGAGGGAGTTAACATCATCTCCGGCCGCACCTGGGTCTGTCGCCTGGGAGCGCGGGTCCTGCGGCACGAGGCTGATGGCCCCGAGGCGGAGGGAGGGCGGGCCGGGCACCACGGACACCGTGTGTCCGCCGGTCCTCCTGTCCAGGCGGACGATGGTGGACGTGGCCCCGTCCGCGAAGTAGATGTCCCGGGCCCACACGGCCAACCCCGCCGGCTGGGAGCTAGCGGGTAACACACAAGACGCGGCCCGCACACACACGATGCAGACAGCAGCAGCAGCAGCAACACGCCGAACGCACGCATGATACGCACGGGCAAGGAACATTTCGTAAGTCACGCGTGTGACATCGGACGCATCGCATACGATGCACAGACGAATGCCAGGAACACACACGACACACACACGATGATGATGAAGACAAGGATCCCGCCATTTAAAACTTCACAGACTGTTGTGGGTAAATTTTGTTCGCGAGCACCTATGAAGGTCGACACCACTCCCGGCGGCCTTTGTCTTCCCAGTGCTGATGTTTACACACCACGGCAGCTATGGTTTTATGGCTGAGTCGACCTAGAGGAAGCCCAGACTCGGTTTAGATATTCGCTGGTGAGGTTGTCAGTGAGCCGGGAATCGAACTCGGCGAAGTTTTGTCGCACTCGACAACACTGCCGTTCCCCATATATGACACGCACACACACGTGCACGTGACATGCAAACGACATGCACGCACGGCACACAGTGCAATGCATAAAGCATCGAACACACGAACACAGCGATTAACCTCAGCTATTCAGTTTCAAATTATAATATTACTCTATAATTAACACTCGGTGAGATGAAGGCATCTACAGTATGGCACAGTATGCCATTCTATTTTTGGACAGCTGACACGACACGTGGTGATCTTGAATTGGACTGCAGGGACGGACCCCCGGTTTTATGAGACTTATTGACCGATTCGCTAACTCCCCATAGCAAACCGAGGACAGCTATCGAGGTTAATTGGAGCAATTTTGTGGGATTTCAGTCCCACACCGAGGCTCACGCTGACACAGGTTTCGCAAAGACGCCATTGACCTGTCAGCTGTCGGGAGCTAAGCAGCCTTGAGCCTGGATAGCGTTGGAATGGGCGATCGCCATGCTTACTAACAGGTTATATAGGCTCTTGTGGGGCTGCGGAGGGTATTTCAGTAAAAAAAAAACATTATTGGACTGTACTATGCCCCCGTGTCTTGGCTCCCTGTCACGGCATCAATGAACAGGCCAAGCCCGTGTCTCCGTGTTTAACCAATGATGGTAGAACTGGTCCAGACAGATCTGCCTGCCGCTCACGCAATTATAGCTGCCACCTTTTTGTCAGAGGTGTCGATCAGTGCTGATGAAAAGCCAGGGGGGAGAGGGCCAATTAAAGCCCACGGGTGGGATACAGGTGACCCACCCCGAATCGTGAGGACGATGAGCCAATTGCAAGGCAGCAGTGGTGGTGGTGGGAGAGGTGAGGAGGGGGCCTCTCACGTATCTCAAAAGGGCCGAGTCAAAACAGATAAACCGCGGGTCGGTGAGGTGTTCAAGTGCAGAGGAGCGCAACATGAACCCAGGAGCGTTCCGGCGGCAACAGGCGGTTTTTGACAAGAGCCGGGTCTTCGAGGCTGTAAGCTGAACCTAACCCTCACGACGACAAGGGTTAGAGTCCATTTGTGGGTGGAGGAGAAAGTGAATCGGGCTTTACTTGCGAGATATTCATTCGCAAGTCGACGGTGCCTCATCTGAGCCCCATCACTGCTCGTGTGCCGGGAGGTGGCCAGCAGATGGCAGTGCAGCAATGGGTTCCATTTCGCAGATTCGACGAGCGGGTGCCGTGAGTTTCTCGGCATCGAATTTTATCCTCTCACATTCGGGATCCTCCCGAGACCCGAGTCTTGAGGCTCGGGGACCCTTGATTGAGTACAGTACAGGGTGGTCCAGATGTCTTGTGACCCGCCCCCCCAAAGATTTGGCCCCTCACATATTTTTCCTTTGCAAATTGGTTTATTTTGAATAAACTTTGTCTTTCAATATTAAGTTTTAGAGAATTAAATGTGGGGGGGGGGTAGGGGGTGGGGGGGGTCACAAGACATCTGGACCACGCTGTACATTTCCAAATTAACATTAAGTTCCGTGGGTCAGCAGAGGGAAGGGGGCTTTCTGATGGGTTCGGGTGTTGCGGAAGAGGGGGTTGTGGGGGAGGTGCTTCATACCCCGTGGGCAGCCTGAAGGATTTCCCGTTCCTGCCGTCGTACTGCGCCGAGCGGATGAAGCCGTGCGCTGGCGGTCCCCCCGTGCCCTCGGCCCAGAAGAAGCGGCGAGGGCCTGGGTCGACGGCGAGGGCCGTGGCCCTCGTGGCGAGACGCTGGACCCGCGACGGCGACGAGCCCTCCAGGCTGCTTCGCCATATCCCGGGGGCGGTGACGCTGTCCGACACCCAGAACAAGCGCCTGGCGGGGGAGCACACGGGCGCGCGCGTCACGGTGGGGGGGGGGGGGGTCACGGTGGCGGTCGGGCGATTGGGTGGCTCGGAGGTCGGTGGGGTTGGGGGGGGTCTGGGCGCCGAACCGGGGAAGCTGAGAACGCTGGCTTCAAATCTGGCCGCCCAAACGTGATTTTCTTTCTTCTTCTTTAAACCAGGTTCTCAAGTGTAGCGAGGTTGATCGTCTCAAGCTGGTCACAAATGATGGATTGCAAAAAAAACCCAATCCATGATTTTTTCTTTTTCACGTAATTTGCTAAACTATTTTTTTTTGTTTCACGTACGATGATCTTTTCGGGGGCATTAAATGTGTACTCGGATGTCTATGGATGTAATTTTCCAAACTCTGCAGCTAGCAGTATACCACTTTGTGTCAGTCAATGGCCCTGGAAGAGGACATCACAGGACTATGTAATCACCCCTGTACAAAGACAAATTGACTCGGGTAAATGTTGTGCCTGATGGGAGGAGAAAACGAAAAGTTTGTTACACACGAAAATTATTTTCACCAGCAATGCTGTTTTCCATCTGCGTGTCCCATACGAGACTTCTCACAATAGAACGTCATTTTGTACTTGTTTATGGGGTCGAGTGCCAGGATGGTGGGTAGAGTGGCTTTCTCCACGAGCCGCCTCCTGACGCCACTGCCCAGGTCATGCTCTTCAATTGTCCCCTTGTCTCTGTCGCTCCAGATGATTTTATTCGTAACCCAGTCAAGAGCTAGCCCAGCAATGGCTCCGTTCACCAGCAGAACATTCTGTTGTGACGAAAGCACAAATATATTAACGTGGTTAGTACATTAATGACAAGTTAGTGTCCCAATTTTTTTATTTTATAAACGCCAAGTAAAGTGGTACAATAACTAGCCTCGGTGTGGAATTTTTGGTGGCGTTTCCTCGCTGCCAGATGTCTGCAGTTGTCATAGATTTGCTGCAATGTAAAAAATGATCAATGGCTTGTAATCCCCCCCAGCCTCTCTCCCTCTCTTTACATTTGTCCAAAAGACACATTTGAATGTTGTCAATGGATTCTATTTGTGGATATTTGATGTATTGCTTCTATATGTTGGTTGTCAAATGATTAAGTGGAAAGACGAACATATTTTAATTAATCAAGAGTGGTGTGCTTCCCGTTGCATTTCTAAATGTGTTTCTTCATGTGACACTGCCTACATTGATTTGGAGGTTTTATATTCACTGCACTGTAATGGAAGGGAGGGTTGAACAGCACCTAAAGCAGTTTTCAATAGATTTTTGCCTAAACTCAATGTGATTATGTGTAGGGAGTCAAAGGATTTGTCTGCATGTGCTAATTTAAAATGATCGATATCAGCCCATTGCTTCTCAAGTTATAGAGGTCACACGTCTTCTGGTTACTACTATTCCCTACGGGACTCTCATTCTATGCAATCGCTGCGGCTGTGTTTCTGTCAATGCATGGGACCCATCGTAATTTCCTTCATAAGTGGCTCCAACGAAAAGCTTTCCTCAAGTGTAACAATGGGTGGGCAGGATTGGAGCAAGGATCTGTCCATGGTGCTGAAAGATCAGCCAGGTTCCCGTGCCCCCATCTGGATTTATTTGCCAATGGCAAATACATTTTTTGGTATCTTTCCCCATTTTTTTGTATTGTGCTACTGCTGATTTCATAATTGCATTTGTGTTTTGATCGTGTAAAGGTATAATGTCAGAGTTTTTAACGGTAACCCTCCACCACCCGATCAAAGCCAGTAAAATCAAGTTGTCACGTGGGCAATATGCAAATAAATTTTGTCAATTAGCGAAACTAGAATGTGTTTTTAAAGGGCAAGGAACATTTAGATACATTTGTATCCGACGTTTCCGCGGATATTACATCCAGCATCATCAGGTTGTTAACAAGAGCTCGGATCTCACATGATCGCACGTATACAGTGTGCTGTGTCTTGAATGAGGAAACGTTTAAGGATAACAATGATGTTGAAAATGATATGAGCGACTATGATGTGTACAATCTTCAAAGCAATAAAGTGTCTAAAACATGATGATGATGATCATGTCTGATTTTGGTGGTGGCAATAATGTATAAACAGTATCTCAAAACTATAGAGTAATTTATCAAACAATCGTGGTGATGATTGATGACGATGGAAACGCTACTCAACACTGCATAGTGTACCGAACAATGATGATGAATAATTACGGCGATAATAGCAATAGTGGTCATGATCCATCCTTCTGCCTGCTGACGATAATCCCGATGAGCATCATCACAATGATAGTGTCGTTGTTGGTGACGCTGCCGCTGCTGCTGCTGCTCCACTAGCAGTAGCAGCAGCAGCAGCAGCAGCAGGAGCCTGCTGCTGTTGATGAACCTGATGTTGCGTCCCATCCACGCGCACCGCCTGCACGGCGTGCGAGCTGGCGCAGGCCCAGTAGAGTCGCTCCTCGGCCGGGTGCGAGGCGAGCAGCAGGCTGGGGCACGCGGGGTCCGCCAGGCGCCGCTGCCCCGTGCCGTCGGCGTTCACCGCGTACACGGAGCCCCCCAACGCGTACACGAGCACTGGGGGGCGCGATACTGTGGGGGGCGGGGGGGGGGGCAGGGGCAGAGTGGGGGTGGGGGAGGGACGGTGGGGGCGGCGGGGGGACCGAGTGGGGGCGGGCGAATGGGGGCGGGGGGGGAAAGAATGGGGGCGGGGAGGGGGACAGAGTGGGGGGGGGCTGGGTAGAGTGGGGGTGGGGGTAGAGTGGAGACGGGGGGGGACCGAGTGGGAGCGTGGGGGGACAGAGTGGGGGGGGTGACAGAGTGGGGGGGGTGACAGAGTGGGGGGGGGTGTCAGTGGGGGGGGGGGTGACAGAGTGGGGGGGACAGAGTGGGGGGGGACAGAGTGGGGGGGGTGACAGAGTGGGGGGGGGTGTCAGTGGGGGGGGGGGGGGTGACAGAGTGGGGGGGACAGAGTGGGGGGGGACAGAGTGGGGGGGGTGACAGAGTGGGGGGGGGGACAGAGTGGGGGGGGGGGGTGACAGAGTGGGGGGGGTGACAGAGTGGGGGGGGGTGACAGAGTGGGGGGGGGGACAGAGTGGGGGGGTGACAGAGTGGGGGGGGGACAGAGTGGGGGGGGGGGTGACAGAGTGGGGGGGGGACAGAGTGGGGGGGTGACAGAGTGGGGGGGGGACAGAGTGGGGGGGGGTGACAGAGTGGGGGGGGGGACAGAGTGGGGGGGGGGGGTGACAGAGTGGGGGGGGGACAGAGTGGGGGGAGGGGGGGACAGGGTTGCCACGTTTGAGATGTAAAAAAAACCCGGGACATTATTCCGGTACCGTAATTCCCCGGTTTGCGTCGGGGGATGCGTTCCTGATAGTTGCAGCGACGAATATCGAAACGACGCAAATCGGGGTAGGTGGAGGCGAAGGCTGAGAGGCGATGGATACGAGCAAGGGCAGACGACGCTGTCGGCGACGTCAGTGTGGGGTTGAGGCGACGCAAATCCAGGCCGTGGTATTAATAACGTCACCGACGTATTTGTGAAACGACATAAATCGGGGTATTACTGCAGTGGACGATAAAAAAAATATCCCACGCTTCCAAAATAGGAGAGGAATGTAAAGGTAAATGCATTGCCATAAGTAGCGTATAATTTACACTTTTTTTTGTAATACCGGGAAGGTTTGCGGATTTCCAAGGACTTCTTCCACAAATAGAGGATGTCCTTGGAAAACCAGGACGGGTGGCAACCGCAAGATGAAAAGCGAACGACGCTGTGACCCAGTGTTTTAAAAGCGGTTTTGAAAAAGGTGCCGATATGTGCAGGAAAACCACCGGTATTGCAGTACGTCATATCCCACCATGAAGGTCCTAGAATATTCCTTGACAGGGCAGTGTCGTGGCGCAGTAGCCACACTTGCGCCTCGCAGCAAAAAAAGTGTCTGGGTTCGATTCTTGACTCGAGTGGCATTTTGTGTGAAGTATGTACGTTCTCCCCCCCCCCCCCCCTCGCTCCCCCTGTTCTGCGTGGGCTTTCTCTGAAGCCTCTGGATTTCTCCCATAGCTAAACAAAGTAGAGTAACTGGTGTTGGTCAAATATCCCCAATGTTTTGTTATAAATAATTGCCTGCAAATCTACTCAATTGGGATGAGGCACAACAGCATGGCCCCCTGCTGCTAAAACTTGGCAGGAATCTCCTGAAAAAGAATACCTGAGACTGCGCGAGGCTTTCGTGCGTAAACAATTGTATTAAGTGTTTTCTATTGTATTTAACATACATATGTTATACTAAATAATGTCATCATCTAGTTAATAATATTATATACTACGTAAATACATCAATCTAATGGTTTCAGCCGAGTTGTTACACCAAGATCCGTAAATGTTTTTCAATTAATCTGGCTTATTCCAGCTCTGCGAAATAAAATGCGAAGGCTAATTTGAAATGATGTACATATACAGATGTAAACAATATTCATGGCATTAACATTTTCAACAGGGCATTAAAAGATTCGCCCTGTCGTGTAGATAGAGAAAGATAAAGCTACGGAAGTGACCTCAACTACTCTAGTTTCTGACACAGGGTGATAACACTGCTATCTGCAGTGCTCTGATTGGCCACTTGGATTTCTATCTTGTGACGTGATGCCACGAGCATAATTGGGGGGGGGGGGAGAGTTATATAAACTCGTGATCGATTTAATTAATTGAATTCCACATCGTTGTTGATGCAGTCCAAATTCCATTCTACATTAGTCAAGACCGGTATTCCAAAAACCAAGTAATTTGTTGTCATTTTCGTTCTACCCAGCGCGAATGCTGGGTGATTGATTGAACCCTCCTCTAGACGTTCTCAACCAAAATAACAATTATCACGAGTCCGTCACCTTTGAGCGATATCTTCCGTGAGACCGAAGCACGCGAACTCGCCGAGGTGAGGGAGACGGTACAACGAGTGAGTCAGTTCCCCGGTGAGTCAGGTGTAGGTTTGACTGATTCAGGTGTGCCGCGCGCGCGCGCGTGTTTTGACTGTCAAAGAAGCTCGCGTGTCCCCTTCATTGGCCGCATCACGTTTGAGAGACCGGGGGCCTGCAGCTATGGCCGCGTGAAAATATTTGAGGAATGTCCACGTAAATAACGACTCTCTCTCTCTCTAGCAGAATCAGCAGCGTCTCTGTACCTACGTCTCCAGCGGACGTTGCACCCCAGTCCCAGTTAGCGCGTGTGTGCGACGTTTGTTCTTGAGCCTTGCGCACGAGGCAAGTTGCATGCAGCTGTAGTTGAGTTAACCATTAAAACATGCCACCGAATACTGCGAGTATATAAGCAGCGCATGAAAATTGGGACGTCTAAATGGCTGTGGCTATAGCTTAAGATGGAGAAAATAAGTTGGATTGAGAGAGGACACATTGTGAAGTTGTGGAGCAAGTTTAGCAAGAGGGAAGTCCAATTGGAAGAAACGAGAGGAGTGGAGTGTATAGAAGCTCAAGGTTTGAGATGATGGAGGACCTGCCATAGGGTAGAGGACGAACGAAAATTATGTTATTTGAGATGTTTTCCCATAATGCCGTTTTTTTTTTTGTTTGGTCGCGACAGCCTACGTGTTACATTGAGATGTTTGGTTCCATGCAAGTCTGAACACTTGTTCTCGTGCACTCTTATGAGTCCAGTCCCATCGCACTGATCACACGGTCAGCTGTTTGGAACAACACTTTTAAGTTTGCAAAACTGGCTCGGACTCGAAGATGGATCCCGAGCATGCCACTGGTAACCCGTGTCCAGGTCTTTGGGCTGGAGGCTCAAACTGCGCTGGCCGTATTCCCTCCACAATGTTTTCGCGCGGGTACAGCAGCCGATTAAATGTTATGTAAGCTTAGATAATCATCATACCGCGCATTCCGGTGACCGCTCTTGTACGCTGCTGTATTTGCAAGTAGGTCGTATTGTTTTTAAACAAGCGCTTAAAAGGCATTTGATGCGTGATAGCAATGTTTTTGTTTCTAACTTCTGTAAGAGTCCACAAAAATGCGTAACATTCCATATATTTTTTTGAAAGATGTTACTAAAAATAAATGTGTTTATTTTTAAAAATCCGCCCCGGTAAATGCGTTGGTACGAATTCACGCACGTCACTTTAGCGCGACTTAAAAGAACCGGCACGCAACTCCGCGTGTCGAAGCACCGAGAGATAGAGATGATGATGCTAATGATGTCTTCACCACACGGATTGTTCCGTGGTCGGCGCTCATCAAGCAGCGCATCTGCGGGCAGGACAAACCGCGGTGGCGGTGGCGTGCGCGCTCTCTGCGTCTGTAGTATTACCCAGCTTGGTGTTTGTGCTGGGGGGCGGTGGGGGGTGGTGGGGGAGGGGAGGAATTAGGGCACCCTAAACTATCACCTGTTTTTGTTTCTTCTTTTTAAACCGCCGCTGTCAGACACAACACCTTGTGAGGTTGAGTCACGCGCTCGAGGGAGCGCGACTGGCGTTGCTGCTGCTGCTGCCACTGCTGCTGCTGTTGCCGTCTCGTAACGTGAACTGGAGAACGAGTTGTATCACAAAAAGGTAAGGTACATGCCCGCATGCCCCGCGGCGCATCGAGCCACTGAAGGAGGCCTCGTGACGGGTTGATGGGGGCCCCTTTGTTAAGCAGAGGAAGTTCGCAGATTTGTGGTGACCTCTGCCGCGAATGCATCAAGGTCTTGGAGAGAGCCCAATTCTTGTTTTTCTCTCTCTCTCTGTGGTCTCTCCGCAGGGGACTGATTCTGTAACACTATAACTAAAAGACCACTTGCCTAATATAGGAATGGAGGATGCTCATAACTTAGTCCAACATTCCATTCGCGCCCGAACACGCCACAACAATAACGGTGGTGTACAAACGAACCCAACGCAGGTCCCACCTGAGAGAATCTGAGGTTCGGTGATTATTTTCTATTTATTTCCCCTAGGTACAGTGAGAGAATAAAAGTATTTGATCCCCTGTTGATTTTTTACGTTTACCCACTGACAAAGAAATTATTAGTCTATAATTTTAATGGTAGGTTCATTTGAACAGTGAGAGACAGAATAACAACAACAAAAATCCAGAAAAACGCATGTCAAAAAATGTTATAAATTGGTTTGCATTTTAATGAGGGAAATAAGTATTTGACCCCCTCTCAATCAGAAAGATTTCTGGCTCCCAGGTGTAGTTTATACAGGTAACGAGCTGAGATTAGGAACACACTCTTAAAGGGAGTGCTCCTAATCTCAGCTTGTTACCTGTATAAAAGACACCTGTCCACAGAAGCAATCAATCAATCAGATTCCAAACTCTCCACCATGGCCAAGACCAAAGAGCTCTCCAAGGATGTCAGGGACAAGATTGTAGACCTACACAAGGCTGGAATGGGCTACAAGACCATTGCCAAGCAGCTTGGTGAGAAGGTGAAGACATACTATTTGGTTCTATTCGGTAAAGTCACGTGACTTTACCGAATAGAACCAAAGAGTATGGATCCTTGCAGTCACGAAAGCTTTAAATCTAGAAAGGTGACAACAGTTGGTGCGATTATTCGCAAATGGAATTATGAAATGGAATTATGAAACACA